ACTAAATCCCCCAATCAAAAGATACAGCCAAAACCTAACGGTGTATCCAAAGATACACAAAGACTCAGAACAAAGGGTTGGAGAAAAATTTACCAACCAAATGGAGAGCAAAAATAAATAAATAAACAAAAAGCAGGAGTTGCAATTCTCACATTTGATAAAATAGATTTCAAAGCAACAAAGATACAGTGGTCAAAGGATCAATGTAACAATAAGAGATCTTAATACCCAGATACATAAGACCCATAACAAGATTTAGACTCAACGAGACAGAAAATTAATAAGGATATCCAGGACTTCAACTCAGATCCGGAACAAGGAAACTCAATAAATATTTATAGAGTTCTCCATTTTAAATACACAAAATATTGATCGGCCATTATTAATACCCATTTTTAGAATGAAGCAATATTTCTGTTCTCCCTCCCTCTTTTTCTTCCTCTTTCTTCCTCTCCTTCTCTCCTTTTTTTACTTTCCAACATCCTAGTTCCTCACCTCTACTCAATACATTCCTCTGAACACCTGATTCCTTGTGATTCTCCCGTCCCATTGAAACCTCCAAAAAAAAGAAAAAGAAAAATACACGGAATGAAGGATATTAATGAGAAAATAATAAGAAAATTAAAGAAAATAGATGTGATCTAAAGGTTTTAGCAAAACAACTAGAAAAATCAAATAAAATTATCACTAAAGCCCAAATGAAAACAAAATGAAAGCAATTATCACTAAGGACATGAACAGAGTCTATACAAATTTCAATAAAACAAAATCATATTAAAGCAAGAGATAAAAGAGATCAAAAAATGATGGTAGATATATAAGAAAGGAAATCCAAATAAGCACAATTGATATTCCTTGGAAATTAAAATAAACAAGTAGAGGATACATAGAAAAATGAAAGATAAATATTTATATATATACACATATATACATATGTAAAGAAATAACTGATGCTACAAATTAAATGAAAAAACTCTGTCCCAGGAAGAACTGATAAAAAATGATCCATTGCTAATCATATCTTGGTAAATTTGCTAAATCTCAAATATAATAAAAATACTCTAAATATACTGACAGGAACATTTAAGGAAAAATCAATCTAAACTCAAGTTTTCAGTACCCCAAATTCAATGGCAAAAAATGCAGTCAAACTTCATATAAAAATTCTAAATGTCACGTTATGTGTTCAAGAAAATTGGCAATCACATAGAAAAACAATGGACAGATCATCTCAAACATGTAAACACTCTGATCAAATATGCCACTGATCCTATGTCACAGTTTATTAGAACTCACTATGCCTGTTGTTCTTAATTGGCATTAAAACTCTCTTTTTCATTTTTATACTTATCCTGGTTTGGATAATACATTATATTGTTATAATAAACTATACTTAAAATTTAAAACAACAAAATTCAACCATCTAAAATATGTATACAAATGAAAAAAATCATAAATGATAACATATAGCTTCCAGTTTCGGCTCTAACATGGAAACAACTTAGAAGTCATCACCTGGATTCTAACAAGACAAATAGCTGAACAGTGTAAAAGTCAGTAACTTTGCTTGGCCCATGAGACAACTGAGGTTTCAGGACAAATCATCTCCCTGTACTCAGCAGAGACAGGTAAATATAGTGAGTCACAGCCAGCAGCTTAGCTGAGTAGAAGCCCCTGGAGCCATAAACTGGCAGACACACTTAATAGGAGCTTTGATGAGTGGCTGGAGGCTGAGCATGAACTAATCTCAGAGTGAGAAACTCCCTGGGCCGCAGTTTTAGTGGTACTTACATGGTTTCATGGGTTTTACCTCCAGGAGTCCCTACCAGGTTCTCAAGGTAGAAAGCCAAGAAACAAAACAAAACAAAAACCCCTCCTGTTTTGGAAGAGAGAGGAAAAGTAAACATTTAAAAATACTCCCAGAATTTTCTCCAAAATAAAGATGTACTCCGACTTTAGCTTAGCCTTTTCCAACTACGGGAGGAAAATTAAGCAGCTCCAGCTGCCTCTGGCCTAAAAGCTAAGTAACACTTATGAAGTTCACAGTCCAGAGACAAGGACTCAGTAAAGACAGAAATTTAATCATGAGATTATAAAGCCTTTTTCGCCTACCACATCATAAATAGGGCTTCAGTGTAATAATACTGTATTACAGTTAAAGCTATAAGGTGAAACTTCTTTATCAGAAGGAGATCTTTAAAAAAACCCAAAGACAACATGGGGGGAAAAACAAGAACACTAGAGGAAACTTACACCTACAGTTACAGCAAACATGAAACACAACCCAACTCCTAGTTGGATTATCAAAATTTAACACTGAAGGCCTACCTGATGCAACATGTGTATCTTTCAACAACAAAAATACAAGGCATTCTAAAAGGCAAGAAAAAACAAAGTTTGAAGAGACAAAGCAGACATCAGAAATAGATGCATATATGATACAGCCTTTAGAAAAACAAACATAAAATTTAAACTATGACTAAATTATTAAGGGCTCTAATGGAAAAAGAGAGCAACATGGAAGAACAGATAGGTAATGGAGGCAGAGACATTGAAACTCAAAGAATCAAAAAGAAATACTTGAATAAAAAACACTAACAGAAATGCAGAAAGGTATTGATGTTTTATCAGTAGACAGAGTATGCCTGAGTAAAGAATCAGTGAGCTTGAAGGTAAGTCCACAGAAACTCTCAAAATTAAAATGCAAAGAGAAAAGAGGTAAAAAGCAGAAAAACAATCAAGTAACTATGAGACAATTTCAAAAGTTGTAATTCGCATAGTTGAAATACCAAGATGAGAAGAGAGAAGGGAGTAAAATAAATATTTGAACTAATAATGGCTGAGAACTTTCCAAAAATTGCTATAAACACTAAATCACAGATTCATAAAACTCAGAGAACATAAAGCAGGCTACTCACCAAGAAAATCTAGACCCAGGAGTGGCATGCTTAAATTGCAGAAATCCAAAGACAAGGAGAAAATGTTAAAAGTAGCCAGAGAAAAACAACCTTACTTGTAGAGGAAAAATAAGAATTATAGTACATTTCATGTCAGAAATCTTGAAAACATGAAAAGAGTAAAGTAAACTATTTACAATGTTGATAGCAAAAGAACTCACCAACCTAGAATTCTATAGTGAAATTATACTTTGAAATAAAAGATAAAGATTTTCTCAAACAAAAACTGAGATAATATGGTATCAATTGAAAAAAATTGGTATGCTTTGAAAAAAAGCATAAAAGACGTTTTTTAGGAAGAAGGAAAAGGATACATGTCTACATAGTAAATGGGAGCATGACAAAGAAGAAATAAATGGAAGTAAAATACAGCATTTTTTTCTTAATTGACCTAATGGTAACTCTTTTAATAATTATATTATATTGGGTGATTATAGTATATGGGTAAGTGAAAGGAATGAAAGCAATGTTACAAGGAACAGAGGGAGAAGCTGGGATATTCTGTATTATGCTATCTGTACCACCTGTGAAGCAGTACAGTGTTATTTCAAAGTGGATTTATATTTGTTGTAAATATATATTGCAGAATCTAAGAAAATCACTAAAACTTTTTATAGAACTATATTTGATATGCTAAGATAACTTTAAAATTGAATCATATAACATTTTACACTAAAACCAAAGAAGGCAGAACAAGAGCAGAAGAAAAAAAAAGGAGAAAAGAAAGACACCATAATTTTTTTTTTTTTTTTTTTTTTTTGAGACGAAGTTTCACTCTTGTTACCCAGGCTGGAGTGCAATGGCATGATCTCTGCTCACCGCAACCTCCGCATCCTGGGTTCAGCCAATTCTCCTGCCTCAGCCTCCTGAGTAGCTGGGATTACAGGCATGCACCACCATGCCTAGCTAATTTTTTTTGTAGTTTTAGTAGAGATGCGGTTTCACCATGTTGACCAGGTTGGTCTCGATCTCTTGACTTCGTGATCCACCTGCCTCGGCCTCCCAAAGAAAGTTTTTTTTTCTAATTTGGTCCTTCTGTTACCCAAGATCATGCTGTCACATTTTATACACTACAAACTAATTATAACAACAATAATAGAGATAACATGAAAAAAGCCTTATGGAAATATGCCAAAAGAATTCTTACGCTTTCTTGTAACCCTATTCATCACAGAACACAATAATAAGAGAAGTAGGTACTTAGGTGAATCTTTGTTCTTCATTTCTCATGTTATAACAACACAAATAACTAACTATGGAATTGTTATTTGACCCTCATTCTTTTGGTGCTTATGGATGTAATCCTGTTTAATCTTCACAACAACTTTTTGAGCTAGTTATTCCTAGCTTTATTTTACTGATGAGGAAGAACTCAGAGAATTTGCATGCCTTAGCCATCAGCAAGCAATAAGTCAGAATTTAATTCAGGTTTTCTGTCTTTTAAACCTCTTATTCCTAGTTTCCATTATTACTTTCCCCATAAGAAATGTTCTGATTAGTGAAAATAAAAATGTAAAGGTTAAATTATGTATTTTATCTAGCACTGGCATGAAATAACACTCTATAAAATATTACACTAAAATTTCATGACATCAAAGTTTCTGAAGTTCAGTGTTTTTATAAACTCACCAAATTCACATTGAAATTACTCAGATTATATTACATATCAAATCTCATTGGATGTTTTAGAAGTGGATAAAACTTGTTTATCTCTATATTTTGAAAACTTTTCATTCTTTAACACTAGTAACATAGACGTATTGATACAATATATGCTAACCTTTCTTTGAGAGGAAAGCAAAACTCCAAATCAATTCTGGTTGAACTTACAAAAGAATTATGTTGTGTGGTACTATGTATTAATCTCAATAGGATCTTGCATCAGAGGTTACACTCAAAAGAGTCATCTCATAGCCATTCCTGCTAAGGATTAGCAATAAGAATCTGGGAACAGATGTCTGTTAGGTATCCCTGCATGCCTGAGTGTAGACTATGATCTCATTTTATGCACTATTCTAATATCCTTGTTTTTTTGTTGTTCAGCAGTGAAGCCTGTGGAGAGCTGGAAAGAAATATTATTTCCTGTAGTTCACCATCTGTGGACCAAGGTTTGTTTTTCTTTTTCCTTGTGGTATAATGCAATGCTTACACCATACAATCTTGGCCTACACCAAATCGTTTGTTTCATCTTTAATTTGTAATTGGTTGAGTATACAAGTGCAGATAAATGCAGATTTAATTTGCAGAATATGCAGAAAGAAGAAAGTCATAAGAATATAAAACATATGCGACAAATATTCAGCTGCTGAAGTAAAATGATCATATAGCTTTTATTTGTGGGTCAAAGTGCATAAAAATAAAGGTGATATGGTTGGGGTCTAAGTCCCCACCAAATCTCCAGTTGAAGTGTAATCCCCAGTGCTGGAGGTGGGGCCTGGTGGGAGGTGATTGGATTATGGCTGTAGTTTCTAATGGTTTAATACCACCCACCTAGTGCTGTCCTCCTGGTAGAGTTCTTGTGAGATCTGGTTGTTTAAAAGTGTGTAGCACCTTCCCCCCTCCGTCTCTTCCTCCTATTCTGGCCCTGTGAAGTGCTGGCTTCCCCTTGGCCTTCTGCTATAGATTCTCAGTTTCTTGAGGCCTCCCAGAAGCTGAGCTGAAGCTATCATGCTTCCTATGCAGCTTGCAGAACCATGAGCCAATTAAACCTCTTTTCTTTATAAATTACCTGGTCTCAGGTATTTCTTTATAGCAGTGTGAGAACAGACTAGGGAAAAGACAAACTCATGGTAGATATTGACATGATCATAGAGCAACATGTAAGAAGTAGTATTTGAGTTGTTATTCAAGATTCAAGTTAAGAGAATACAGGTTGAAGATGCTTAAAATGGTCAAAAAACAACTTAATAACAAACACAAAACAGAAAAGACCAAATCAAGAGTTAGTTTTGTCATGTGAAGCTAATTAGGAAACTTGGGTGCAGTTATCTGACTGCACACATCATGCCAAAGATGACTGAATGTCAAAAGCTGTTTATCAAAAATGGGAGCATGTGGCAAGGACTGGGGATCCTTGTTGCTTTTGTGGTATGCCAACTTGCGTATTTTACCTTATAACATTTATTGATGGAATTCTGTTTTCAAAAAGTTCTCATGCTGTGAAAGTTCTTGTCTGATTCTCCTACTATAAAGAAATGCACATTTTTAAATTTTGCTGTCTCTGTACAGAAATAGACTACCTGACTGAATTATCATCTGATGAATCATTTCATTGTATCACATCTACATCTGATACTAAGCTTTATTAATATCTATATTTACTCTAAACTCTCAAACACATCTTATAACCTATTTACACAAATCCATATGTGACGTAATTATAAAGTCAGGGCAATATGATATTATACTAAATTTTAATGTTGATGAATGCTCACTTAGAGCAAATAGTTATAATAAAAAACATATAATCATTAAATTACATTTTGAAAGTCAGTAATATTTTACTCAATACAACTTTACATTTTATAAATCTGTGGACATTTTATTTAAACTAAGTATCTCAGGGTTTATTAATAATAAAAAACGTATTTTGAATTGCCTAATTTAGTTTCTTAAGGGTTCCCTGTGCAATTAGACTCTGTGGAACAGAGAATGTTAGTAACTAGTTAGAAAATCAATAATTCAATAGATAATGAATGAGTGAATAAACCTATGAATATATAAAAAAAAGAAAAAGTGTTCAAAACTGCCTAATATTAGAACAACATTGAAAAGTACTGAGAAAATGTAGACAAGTTCCTCAACACTTGTAACATGTTGATGTGGATATTTAGGTTCTTATTATTTGAAGTATAGACACACATGCACAAATGCACACATATAAATACACAAATCATTGAGATGAGATAAATATAACTAAGATAAATATAGATAAGAGTCAAAACTAATTTTCATCTTGGATTTCATAAGGAAATTATATGTCCATTCCAAAGTAGGCATCTTTTAAAAACTGCCAATATAATACACCCTCAAATACTATTAGAGCAAACATCATTTTATAGAAATGATGTAGACCTTTTAGATGCAGATTTTTTGCCAATCCTAATAGCCAAGGATCATGCACATTAGTTCAGGAAGAGAGGTCTTTGGCTCTCACTTGAATTTATATCCTAACAATATGGTAGAGGAAAACCCCAAGTTGGGAAATAGATCTGCTTGATACCTGTCCAAAGACCCTGACAGAGTAGAAATATGTCAATGAAGAAGAGGTTCTGCCTCAAGGGAGGCATCTCAAAACAACTGTGGAAAAATCTCTATCAACCATGAGGTCACAGTTCAAAATCATGAAATATATAGGAAATAAGTTATCATAAAAAAATAAGAAAAACAAGCAGTAAAGTTGAACTTACCATTAACTTTTGATATTCAAGACTCCTCAGGCATGGGGCCTAAAATAACTATGTTTACAATATTTAAAGAATAAAAGAGACTATTTAGAACTTGTAGAGGGAAAATTATACTATAAAAATAAGAGAACAAATAAATTTGAAAGAAAACTAAGGACACATTCTCTAAGTATTAACACCAAAATTAAGATCTTAATGTCAAATAATGCATAAGTAAAAATTAGGAAATTGAATATTAAACTCAAGAAATTAGGATGCATCAGAGAGAGAGAGATGTAGAGACAGAAAATATATCAGAGAAGTTAAGTATAAAAAGACTTTATATTTTATTGTATTTTCAGAAGCCTGAAGTAGAAAAAATAAAGGCAATATGATATTTATAAAGCTTATGTCTAATAAATTTCTAGACTTGATGAAATACAATGACCCTTTTGCTGTGATTTAGGAACCACAGCAAATCCCATGAATATATTTTTTAAAAGAAGAAATCAAATGTAAGCCTATTATGGATACAATACCCCAAAATATTGGTGGCTTAACCAACCCAAATCTCTATTCTATGGAGTTATTGTTACATCTAATTGTAACATCCCCCAAAAAGATGTCCTCATTCACATGATTTAAGGCAGGTCAGTTGTCTACATTTTAAAAAGTCATAAAGAAGTAAAGAAAAGAAGAGGAGCATAATATCCATCAAAGGGCATGATCTGGAAGTTGTTTATATTGTGCTTTTTATTTATTTTATCCCTTTGCTAAAGCTAACTCGACTTGACCATGGCCAAATATAAACATGAGGAAATCTGGAAATCATATCTTTCAATAGAAAGTTATATGCACAGGGAAAACAAATTACCAATGAATTACTATAAAACTGTGCTGCCTGAGAAGGTAGCCACTAGTCACATGAGGCTGTTTTAATTTAAATCAATTAAAATGAAATACAATTAAAAATTTGGTTTCTCATTTCCACTAACCATATTCTAAGTGTTCAATAGACACATAAGGTTAGTGTTAGAAACAGTAGCTTAAGACATTTTCATAATTCAGTACACAACATTCTATGGTCTAGTGCTACTCTAGAAGGATAGACTACAGATTAAAGGAATTTATCTTTCTGAGTCATTAGCTTTTCCATTTGCCACCCACATATTTATGTAAACCTTTATTTCTGCACTTGAAACATACTCTAATTCAAGAAAGACAATCGCAACATCTTATCCAGTTACATTAATCATTCTCAAGTTCAAAATCTTTGGGTTCCACTCCTTCCAACAGATTCAGAAGTGACTATTTATTCTAGTGATCTACATAATGAAAGTTAATTGATCTATCTGTGGCCACCCTATACACAGTGGTGGAGCAGGAAAAGGAAAAGCACATTAAAAATGCCATTTAACCAAAGGGAGAAAAGGAACCACCCAGCAGTCACTGCCCCTACACAATTACAAAATTCCTCCCACTTGCACAGAAGAATTGTTAAATACCCAGGCTGGGTTCAGTTGCTCAGACTGTCTAGCAGTCTTGGTTTTGCTTTCTGGGAGTTATTCTCTGGCCCACTGTTGCCTTTAGCTCTAGCCATGGATTTATGGAAATGTCTTCCTTGGGGCCATAGCTGAAGCAAGCATTGGAGAATATTCTTCCTGAATATCCTGTGCAGATTTGTGGGTTACTTTAGGTTGAACAATCACAAGCTTTTACACTCCTCGAGGTCATGTGAAATCAAGGTTTTGCATAGGAGCACAAGATTCTTAATTCATTGCCACTGGGCAGATTCTTAGTTTTCTGGCTTAAAACTCTTAATGGAAAATGCTCGAGAGTGATTGGTACTAGAGTTGAACCTCCTGCTAATGCTGCCTTTTTAAAGATATTTTTTTAAGTCGCTTTTGGTTGGGGTACAGAAATAAATGGATTTCTAAAGATTATCAACTTAACATTGCAGGCTACAGGCATAGAGTGCTAGGGCTTTCTAATTATTTTGTGACAATGGCAATATTCTATATACTTTGCATTTTCTTCCTCTAGCAGGTCAGTGTGTATTAAGAAAATGGAGGCATTAGCTAAACAAAATTATTGAGGAATGAATGAAAAGGTGTCCAGAATAGTTTTTGTACTACGATGTGTAAGTGAAATTTGATTCTATTTACAAAATTAAAAGAGATAAACTACTTTAGTGTCCTCTGGCATTTCTGTGAGATTTGATGGAACTTGTTCAAACAATTTTAATATTGGCAAGTGAAGGGCACTCACAGGTAGACTGAGTGATTTATAGCAGAAAGACTTTTCACTATCTGGTCTATTAATCATTCACTTGTGTCTGAAAAAGGTCCAGTTGTTTCTTAAGCCAATTGACTGACAGCAGCTTGCAGGTATAAAACAGTCTGAGTTCTGGTCCTAGCTTTACTACTGTCATAGCTATGTCACTGCAAACCTTTTTATTTCTTGCTTACAAGATAACAAATATACTTTAGTCCTACTATTTGGAATTAAGCTGACAACACAGCTTATGTGACATGCTTTGAACTAGGAAATATTGAAGTAATAGCTGAATTTTCTTTCTTAAGGCCTAGAGAATGATATCCTTTCAGCCAATGGAAGAAATCCTAACCAAGTGTAGCCAGGCGAGAACAAGTAAACAGAACAAGGCTCAATAATAAGTATAGTTATAACCCATTGTCTCATTTCACCAGTTGTAAAAATAGCTGTT